CGGCGGGGGGGGCCGGGCCGGCGGGGCGGAGCGGAGCGGGCCCGGCCCGGCCCGACTCCTCCGGGCCTCGCCGGGACGGGGCCGAGTGGAGGTACCCGCGGGCTGTGCAACACGAGGGGTGTTTTCTTCCCCCTCCCCGAGCTACAAAAGTCTTAATTTTCTTGCCAGTGGCCTCCGTCTCTTAGCTGTTTTGTTGTTTTTCTGGGATAAAGTGATTTTATTATTAGATTATAACTTTTTTTTTTTTAACTTCCCAGAATCTTCCAGGTTTTGGTTTGTGAGCATTTGAACAGATGCATAGTTGCATCTTCCCTTTCCATTTACTGATGGTTTCACTGGAGCTAAGTTTGGAGCTGTCTGGAAGCACGTTTTGGAGAAAGGTGGCAAATTAAAGTGCAAGCTAAGCTGTTCCTACGAGTCGTGAAGAAACATCCTCAGTTTTGCTGTTTTTTTTTTTCTAAATTACTTAGCAAATTATTTTGAAAGGTGAAATAACATTGGTAACTTGGAAAGACCCACTTCTGTTCTTTATGAATATTTCACATACGCAGTGTAAATAACCAGCACTTTGGGATTTTCAGAAATTTCAGGCTGTTAAGAAATGAAGATTTGGACATCATGTATTGGACCGCAAAATTTTTTCCAAGCACTGAGCTTTGGTGTCAAATACTACTCTAAGCATAATCATCTCCAAACAATATATCTTTATAGTCAAATAAAACCCCCAAAATGCCACATCCTGGACTGTTCAGGAAACGCATGCAACAGCACTATGCCACCTGGAAGCATTCTGCAAGGGAGATTCTTTTCCTGCCAGGTATGCAGTTTTAAGTGTAGGTTTAACGTCAACAACCATCTCTGTCCTATCTTTTAAGGAAGCCAGCCATGTTATTTCAAATGTCGGGGAAACATGTATTTCCTAAAGGGTTTGAAGCACGGGGATAAATATTAGGATTTCAGTTATGATCAAATGACTTTTCTCAACCTTTCTATACTGTTTTGATGTCAAAGTGCATTTTGGTTGATTTTGCTGCTGTAGCAGTTTTAAAAAAATTAGTGTCTTCCTGAAAGATTCGGTTAAAGTGTCAGGGTAAAACCGCAGGAAGACATCAGCCAGTATAGCGACTAAGTGTCCAAACTAACGATCCCAGATTTAACTGCTGTGAGCTGGCTCAGTGCTCAACAAACTTGAACTTTTCTATGCTGGCCAGTGAGTCGCAGTTTGTACTGTATTAGAACATTTAATTTGTCACAGTTGCATTCACGTGTGATAAACTACTTTTAAAAAGTATTTGGATTTATGTTTGTAAGTAATTGCTATGTAAAACAGTGGTAATACGTCACGCACAGAGCCAGAAAATGGCCTGAAATAATTTCAGTTCTTCTCTCCCTGTGTCTTCAAATGCGGTACTCCAAAAGTAAAAACTTATCGTGGTATGACAGCCTATAAATCAGTTTACATACATAATGTAAAAAGATTGTTGTTTTGTTTTATTTTGTCTTAGACATGTTTCTAGATGGATGTGCAGTTGTTCTAAAATGGTTTCAAGTTAATGTTTCTTCAGAGGTGACGTGAAGATCATCTTCAAAATACATGTTGCAACCCTTTTTTAGTTCTTATTTGTGGTCCTATTTATTGATTGGCAATTCGCTAACAGTTTTAAATGCTGGTCTACAAGCACTGGTTCCAGGAGGCGCACAGGTGGTCTTCGCCTGAGAAGAAGCTGTGGCCTGTTTACCTTGGGGCAAATATTTGCAAGCAAATTGTCACCAAGATCCTCTGCTATCCTCAGAATCTCCCCAGATGCTCTTCTAGATGACTGCTTTTACCTCCATATGATGGAGGTGTAAAGCAGCTTCCTTGATATATGCCTACATTGCTGCTACTAGCTGTATATAATATTTTCAAATAAGTACAATGGAAACCATTCAAAACAAGTAAAAGGAGGGGGAATCTTCACAAAGGAGGCAATAGATGGTGGAACTTGCCAAAAGAAGTCGTGGATCCTACAATTTTACATAGGTCCAAGAGGAGACTCTACGCGTGCATGAAAGAGAATTTTTTAAATATCCACTTTTTAATTATCCAGAAACCACATTCAGCTCAGGAAGTTCCTGCGCCAAAGTTAGTTGAATGCTGGGAGAATACTTGTTGAGGAGTATCATCTATGCTCACCCCATTCTTACTCTTCCCTAGGCATCCAGTTGTGGCAACCGTGGGGTTTTGTTTGCTTCTGTTTTGGGGAATAGTGTTTCCTTTTCTTGATCAAAACAATTTTTCCACTTCCATTTGTCTGTACAAATGGGAAGGGATGGTACAAGTAACACATCCTGTGTTTTCTTTGCCTTCACAATGCAATTACCCAATTGCTCCAGAGCTTCTTTTCTTAATTTCTTTGACCTGTGCTTCTGATCTTATGTACTAGACTCGCACAACTGTTGGTCTGAACCAATAATGAATGTTCGTATGCGCTCGTGACTGATGTAGTTTACATTCACAGAGAGTTTGGTAATTGGAGCATGTAGGCTTTGACGAGAGGAACTATCCATAATGTTCACATTTAAAATCTCAAGCATTTGTGAAGAGAGCAGGAGTAAAGTAACAGTTTTTGACTGCAGAGTGAGGATGGTGTATAAGTGTATGCTATTTTTTAAGTTTAAAGACATTTACATAATACATTGAATGATATAAAATGCTACTTTGTGTCATCTCTGTGGTATTATGTATGGTAATATGTGATGTTTAACTTGTTATTTGATCATATTGAGAGATTTTACAGCAAGCAAAAAGAAGCAATTTGGTGTTAGCAATGTTAACACATTTGTAACATTTTAACAAAAGGAGACATGACTTTGTTGGTAGGCAGGTAGGAGTGGCTCTGTGCAGAAAACCAGATCCATGAGCTTATTCTTGATGAAAATGTTTGCAGAACCTGCACCAGTTTGTTGCTTCAGTTTACTTTCTAGCCCTAAGAACGTTTAAACTAACCCTTTGAGGAGGTGCAGCAAGGACCAGAACAAGCAGGAGTCTTGCCTAGAATGAAGGAGGCATTGCTGGCAAGAGGAGGAAATGAGAAAGCATAATCTAAAACAGGAAAACAATGAGAAAACACCTCTGAAGAAAGAAAAGTAATTCAATAAAAATTAACTGGAAAACCAGTTCTAGGACAAGAACAAACACATTCACATATAATCACTTAAGAGTATACGTTTAATAGTAAGCTGAATTTTGAAGAAGAGACCTCAATAAATGTTTCAAAAGTACACTTGAAAATGCCCCTGTAAAAGATCAGGAAGAACTGAGAAGAAAAATTCATCCCAGCTGCTTTGTAAGGACTCATACTGTTGTAATAACGCAAAGTTATTTTGTGGGTCAGTAGCTTAGGAAAGATTGTTAGTGTCTCATTGATATATTCATATTTGAAGAGAGTGCTGGCTTATAGCCGTTGTTATCTTTACCTATTTAGCAGGAAGTGACAAAAATTTCTCGCAAAAGAAAAAAAAAACCATCTGTAATAACATCAGAGCTTTTGTATAAGGACCTTCTGAGATCAGAACAAGAAAACTGGAATGAAATTTCAGCAAGATACACATCTATGATAGAAAGAATCAAGCAAAAATTAGAGAGACTGCACAACAAGTATACATTCAATTCGAGCAGCCCAAGGGTAAGTGGCAAAAAATACAAAAATTTGTCATGATTTAGTACAAACAAAAGGCAGTAAAGCCATTCCTGCCATAAAATGCTGTTTCACTGTTTATTTTATTGTGGTAGTTTTGATTTTTGAATATTCTTATAACTGTGTTTAACAACATAGAGCATGTTTTTAGAACAGCTCGTATTGGTCCTGAAAAGTGTATTTGAGTTTAATTTCACCATAGTCAAAAACAAATTACATAATAATCATATGACTTTTTGACAAAGAAGTTGAGACATTTTAAGTTGCAAGAGAAAACATAGGTGATATGAGCCCTTCATTAAGTTTAGATACAGAAATAAGTAGCTTAAGTACTCCAACTTCAAAAGAATCTTTCTGATGCACTTAACTCCTTCGTTCCCCTTTTCAATATCAGATATAGGTGTTACCTTTCATCTGTGTACATTACAATTGCATTTGACGGAACACTGATTGAATATAGGGGTTCTGAGGAAATAGTCCAATCTCTAACAAATAACCAAGATTTATTTTACATATGTATTGGACTTGAAACACATTTGTTTTGCATTTAACAGGTTAGGTTTGGAGGGAATGTGTACTTTGAGGAAAATGGCTGCATATTTCTTTCAAAAGCAGATGACGGTAAGAGATTTCTTAACTCTTGAAAAATATTCTGCAATATTCTGCATGTATCAATTATTCAGGGTGTTTTTCTTGCACTACAGCTTCATTGCTTGGTTTCTAAAAATAGTGTAACTATACTACAAATGAAATATTTTGATAAAATTCTGTAACGATCAGTAAATAATTCTAGAATCCTGAGTCTGAAAAGATGATGTGAAAAGAATTAGGGGATAGTATATATTGGTACTGAGTCCACAACAGTAGATCACTGTAGATGTTTATCATCTTGAACCTCTAATTATAGTATTCCATCTTTACTAGGATAATATGTTTAAGTCATCTTGTATTGCTCTGTATAATATAAATACATACTGTATATCATATAAATACTGTATTAAGATTTTCATCATAAATTGCTGTTTTGTGATGCTAGTAAGTTTCTGGAGAGGGAAGAGAGAAGGCATTTCTTTTCAGAGCCCTGGCTTAAAACTTTAAAAAAGGCAAAGTACATTCACCCTTTTTTTATTTTTGAGAGGGTGAAAAACATTGGTTACTTAATTGTATCTAGTAAAAACAACTATATTTCAGGTATCTGAATTTTAGAATTAAATACATTCATCCAAAGCCTATATCTATAGTTTTGAAATACTTTAAAAAATAAGTACAAAGGTTTTTTTTTTTTTGGATCTATAATTTTTTGTTCATTTTCACAAAATGTTTTGGCAAGTATCTCATAAAAAAAATATTTGGTGCTAATCAATTCTAGCAGTATACTTGTGAATATTGCAGGCAGACTTGTTAAATCAGGTTATTGATTATTAACCACTACTGTTCATTTTGTCAATTCCTTAATTACAGCATTTTTTGTTATCTGTATTGTTTTATGCAGTGGATAAAGCAAATGTTAACGTTTTATTCAGTACTGAAGATATTGGCTTTTCTGATGCCCATATTCAACGGATCAGAATTTCACCAGATCAGAGGTATATGGCTGCCAGCTTAAAAAGTGAAAATTCTGAAGAGGCAACCTGTGTTATTATGAAACTTGATTGTTTTCCTGTCATGGAAAAAGTCATTCCAAATGTTTTTAGTTTTGGTAAGTTGCTTATCCTGTGAACCACACCAACTTTCAGTAAGACATTTCTCTTAGCCAAAAAAATAAATTGCTAGTACTTGTTTTAAAGAAAGTAAGGAGGTGACGTTGCTGGATGTAATGCTTATAGCTGTTAAATTGTTTCTTATTTGACAAATGTCTTTTTCCATACAGCCTGATTTTTACAAGTTACTTGATGTGAATGAAAGTAAATCCTTTCATGGTTCAAGCTTTCCTTTATTGTAAAGGCAAGTATTTATATGTATTTGAAAACTTATGCACATCATTCTTTTTACTGAATTCCGTATGCCCCTGTAAAAATTTACTGACATAACTATTTGCACTATAAGGGTCTTTTTGAGAAATTTTCCAGGTATTGAAACCCTGCAGCTCCAGCTGAAATCACTGATAGCTGCAGGCATTCTGCTCCTCTTAAATGTACGTAAGTGCTGAGTGTTGGCAGGAATTTCTGCTGGACTCCAGGATGTGGGTTACAATTCAGAGTCCATTGAAATCAGTTAGGACTGATTTCAATGCTTTCGTGAGCTTTATTGCTCCAGAATAGGTTAAGGAACTTTATTTTGCTGTTAAAATATGCAAAAGTAAACAGAAATGAATGGGAAATCTTTCTTTTTTATAGCGTATTAAAGAATATAGCAAAGAGAGTGCAACAGTATATATACAGTATTCCACATCTTCTTGTATTTTGGATTATAAGATTATTATTGTTGGATGTCATGAAGTATACACAATGCAGCAAGCAGTTTGACTGGGCAAGAATTTTAAAACTCTAAGTAAAACTTCCTGCTTAAAAAAATGAAAATGAGCAATAATTCAGTGTTTGCACAATCAAAGTTTATAATGCCTGTTGAATACTAGACCAGAAAACAAGCCAGTAGTATTTTCCACCATACTTGACTGAGCACGTAGGTTTGCCTGGAAGATTTAATACATCTAAGAAACCAACTCCCTGTTAGTGCCATAGATGTGACAGATTACAGCAGATAACAGAGTACAGAAATGACAAGTCAGAGTGGTACTGATTATAACAGGTGTACAGGTGTGAGATACACAGCAAGAGAATCAGGTTTTATGACCGCTTGCAAAGTATATGCTCATAGTGGATGATGTGCAGTAGCAGACAGACAAATGAAAGTTCCTGAAAATCTACATCTGCAATTATTTAAAAGCTAGCCTAGAAGAACTGGATTTCCCTTGTAAAGGCTCACCTTTACAGTGAAACCTCAGCTGTCTGCGCACGTTGGAGCCACATTGCAGTTGAAATAGCAATTGTTTATATTACTTCTGTGTGATAATTAATCAGGTGTTTACTGAAAATTAATATTTATGCATAAGACAGTATACAAGAACTCTTTGAACTGCATATACTAAACATCATTACTGTGGTGGCTGCAGGAGCAGCAGAGACCGCAGTAATTTGGCTGGATCATTCAGATTAATAAACCTCAGGTCAGTGAAGCTCCCCTATTTATGTGCTTCTAATGTTGGGGAACACATACACAGACAAGCACAGAAAACTGGAGAATTTTTATCTCAGTAGTACCCCGAGGCATGTGTCACATCTCTTTTCCACCTGGTTTGCACGCAGTCCTATGCAATGTTGCGGATCTTATATCCTCTTTATTATCTTGCTGACTCCATGTAAACTTAATTTACTCTGTTCAGTTTTAAACAGCCACACATCAAATTTTCTGTTACCCACAGAGCCACCACAGGGTCCTGGGCCCTGGACCGTTGTCAGCTGACGTAGGCTTTTTTATATTTTGAGATTCTTGATGTGTAGGACTCAAACCTGGAAAAGTCTTTCTGTGGCCTGCCCCAGCCTCTGGGGTGTAGAGGTGTTGTCCTCAGTTCCTTGTCAACTGCAGCCTGCCTTTTTCAGCATTGGGTCCAGTGTTCATGGAGCTCTAGAAACCACTGCTAGTTACTCTACTGCTGTAATGGCTGTTTTCCTGTCTGCCTCGGGTGTGAGGCTATGTGTACCTATACAATGTCCTGCTTAAGTTACATGCAGTAGGTACAGTGCAAAGTTATCCCTGCATGCTTTCCTGATCTCTCTTCAGTGTTTGTTATGATGGCTCTGACAGTGTTGAATACCGGCTAGCATGTGCATTCAGATTCTCTGCCCCTGACATTCAGACTGAGAGGTACTCCTTGCTCACTCTTTAGCTCAGTGATCTGACAAATCAGGACTGGCTCCTTGATGTCTTGGAGCTCAGGGGATCAATGAGATTTCTGAAAGCACTTTTAGGGTCCCTCAGTGGTACTTAACCTCTTCCTTAAATCTTGCTTTCTGATGATTCTGCCCCCTTCTTCATCTTTTACCACAAGCTTCATAGCTATTATTTCAGCAAAAAGAATGAGGAGGTTCAGGTCCATTTGCAGGCTTTTTAGGCTTTGACTATTAGTCATGCTTTGTCCTTTTACGTTATGAATATAAAATCCTTCAGAAGGAACCTTTGCCGGTTTAACAGAAGGCCAGCCGTCTCAGTGAAGTGATTCTTCCATTGATTAATTCTGTTAAAGGTCTGGTAAAAAGTAGAATAGAGGCAGCTACCTGTAGCATTCAGAATTGGACTAAATGACATTAGCAAGGATTGCGCTGAATTTCACTACTGCTGACATCTGCCACCTGAAGCTTGTTTTATCCTTTCCTCTTGAATTACACCACTGTCAGATCACGCAGGGCATGCAACACTGGAGGTAGTAAGTAGTCCTTCACTCGTTATTCAATAAGGGATTCTGGGATCCTCCACTAGGCAATTAGTGTATTGTGAGGACTCCACATTTTTATTTACCCAGGGTGAGAGTGTACATACAGATGAGTGCTAGAGAAGAAAAAGTTATGTAGCTATAACTAGTTTTCAAGAGAGATTGTGTGTGCGGCTACCACCTATCTCCCTCAGGTTTCCAAGAGGAGCCTTAGTGTTTCCGAAGTAGAGACATTGTTAGGAAGAAGCACAAGCTGAACCTTTTCTATGTATGTGCAAGACTGCAGAGTGGTCCTCACTATTCCATGATGTAGGTACTGAGATAGAGATTTCTGGTGTTATTGCTGGTATAAGGTATGGTCATGATACATATGCAGCGTATCTTGAAGAAAATAGATGCATGTAAGTAGTGGGTTTTTTTTCTCACCCCTCTTTTAAACAAATCAGAAGTATTGACTACACAGCCAGTGGTGATCTTAATTTAACTAGAGCAGACGGGCCAAAAATAATTTAGCATCATATTAATTCAGTTTACATTCTCAAGACAGCTTCTTTTCTGTATATAATTTGTCCTCAGGACTTGCTTTTGAACAGCAAAAACATTAGTTTCTTTTAGCTTTTCTTTCAGTAATACAATATACCGTTCCAAATTTGATACACGTTTGTCTTTTTTCCAGAATGGGCTACATGTGATGTTCTGTTTTACACAAGTCAGAAGAATCTTAAATGCCAGGAAGTGTTTATGACAACTGTCACTGATGAGAAACATACTAAATTAATTTACACAGAACAAGATGCAAGGTAATACTTACCTAAAATATATAAAGTCGTTCACATATTCTAGAGTATTTTGTATGTAAAATATAACTTGTTTGGAAAAAAAAAATCTTCCATATCCTATTCCAAATGGTATAAGTCATTTTAAGTAGTGTTCTGTTGTCAGTGTTGGCATATGCAGTCTGAGAACGTGCTCTGTTCTCCTCTTGATTTGTGATGAACAAAGATTTAACTTCTCTCTGTTACCTCATGAGTTCAGCTGAGTTTATAAATGTCAAGGTCAGTCTCAGGTCACAGTGTCCTTTAATGAAAGTGTGACGGTTTCATACAGGGTAGATCAGACTGCGGATTTCATTTTGTTTTCTCTGCTATTGATGTCTGATGCATCTTTTAAAAAAAACAGGAGTTCAGGCTAATCCTTGCTCTGGGTAATGGATGAGCAAAATCATTATAGCATTCCCAGAGATAGAACTATTGTTGACTGAATACCCTCTCAATAACCTTTCTTTAAGCAGTGGTTTGGGAAGACAAGAAGGCTCTTGCTAAATTGTATGCAGAACTAGTTTTTCAGCCTTGTAGCATGAAGATGTCTTATATGCTATATTGTAAATATTTGTGATTGCTCTTCATCCAAAGTTACAGGTTCAGTAAAAAAAAAAAAAAAAATCAGTTATACTTCCCTCTGAAAAAAACAGAGAAAAATCTACAACTGAGATGGAGTAAATAAGATCCTTTTTTTACAGCTGTATTTAATACATACATTTGTAAAAGCAAGTTACGCTGACCTGACGCTTCCCTACAGGGAAACCGTTGGCATAATTCTGAAGGTCACAGTCATTATATTAAATCTAATAGAAACTTACTCTAAAGGTTTATCTACTAGTGCAGCTTATAACTGAACTCACTTGATGGTGGGAGAAGGCAAGACGTTCTTTTATGTTGCCGTTGAACAGTTCTGTTCTATATCTCACCCCAGCTCTTTTACTTGCAATCAAATATTTTTTAGAAGCTGAAGATTTCGTGACTTCCTTAAAAAAAAAAAAAAAACCCATACAGGCAACTAGAGAAACTATTGTGATATCAAAGCCTGGTGCCTTGGGGAGAAGTATAGCCTGCATTTCAGTTTGACTCCTTTAGAAATGAGGTCAGCAGAACTGAACTACTGGAATACTACTGAATGCAGTGTCCAGCTCTTGCAAAGTTTGCGAGTATTAGAGAGGCAGGAGGCTGATTCTTAGCAGACTTCAGAAACTCAGCTCTCCTTGTCCTCCTAAAGATGTCAAGATGTCATTATTGGTAAACCAATAACAACAACAACAACAACAATTCCTCCACCTGCAATTAATTAAAAGCACTGAAAATGCTATCTAAAGCTTCCTTTCCTTCAGCAGGCAAGTATTTTGAAGCCTAAAAGGATCATTACTGCAGTCATGTAATCTGCCCTGTGTAACACAGATTATGATACTCAGCCCTGCAATTTCTTCATGAAATCTTCCAGAGCTTTGTGCTGGAGGTAGTTTTTCTCTTAGACATGCACTCTGAGAGATTCAAAATGACAAAGAAAGTGCCATGCCCCAAATGAGACATTCCAATTTAATTAGAGTCAGTCTTTCAGAAATGTGAATCTGACTTTCAGCCTGAACTTGTTTAGTATTAGCATCCAGCCACTGGCTGTCATCCTGTTTTCTGTTGCTAGATTTTAGAACCATTTAAAATCAGTAGATATTTTCTTGGGCTATGCTATTTTGGGGTGTTCATATAACTTCTTAACTTTACCTTGGACTGAAGGTATTGGTCTTATTATGTGTCTCCTTGTGGAGGAAAAAGCCTTTTTCCAGACTTTGAGTTACTTTTTCTGTATGCTTTGTAAAGCTATGTATAAATTTAATATAGACACCAAGACTGGATACAGTAACTATTTCATGAATTCTGCATATGGACATATTATCATTACCCTTCCCTTACTGGTGTTCTGCTTCCAGGTCTATGTGATCTCTAAGAAACAATATAGCTGTGTGAGCAGAACTGCTTTTCTTCAAACTAGCTAGTACCAAGTCTTGTACAGGATCTAATATTTTGGTATCTACCACTTGATATTTGACATCTCTTTCAGTAAAATTACTCCTAAACACATCACAACAAACCTTCATACAGTTATTCAGAAAGAACGGCAAAAAAATAGTGGGGAAATAGCTTCAGAGACATTTTTTGTCTTTTCCTTCTTTCTATATTTCTCTACCGCAGACCTCAAATGGATACAATCAAAGCTGTCAAGAAAATCAAAAAAGATCATCTTTCCTCTCATGCCCACTGCTGATCCAGTCAGCCTTGGATCTTAGAAGCAGCACTGAATTGAATCATATCCAAAGCCAAGCAACGTTATTTGCAGAGGTTTTTTTTTTTCAGAACATTTTTCTTTCTGTTACTACTTTGTCACCATGTGTGACTTTTTGTTTGCTCAGTTAATTTCTTTTCTTGCTTCCAGCTTTATCACTTCAGCACTGTCAACCTTGGTTCGTATAGGCTTCTGTGCTTCTTAAAAAAATTAGTCTTTTTGTCTTGCTTGCTTCAGCCAAAGTTAGATCAGTAACACTTAGGCTATTTATTGATTTGTAGTAGCTCCTGTTTTTCTTGGATTATTCCTGTTCCCATGTGATGTCCTGTATTAATTTTAATTGTCCTTTATTACTCTTTTTGAAAAAGGCTTACTAGCTCGAAAAAGATATCTAGGTTTTGCATGAATTTTACAGCCTGTATACATCTGTGACCTTTCAGTCCATCTCAGTGATGCAAAAATATGAATTCAGTTGGGCAGCAACTGAACTGCTCTCCTTGCAGACTTCAGATTTCACACACAAAATTGTGGTTTTCTGAATCCCAGAAAAGATGCAGCAGAAGTAGGTTTGGGAACCACGTAGTCTGGAACTTCCCCAATCTAATCATAGATTACCTTGTGGTTAGAATCGCATGATTCTGAAGCAACTAAGTGAGGTATTTTTTAAACGTTAATAAATTTTAAGGTTAGTTTTTTTTTTATTGCTTGCAGATTTTTTGTAGACATATATTGCACAAAGGACAGACGGTTTCTCACTATCAACAGCAACAGCAAGACAACCTCAGAAGTTTGGCTGGTGGACTGTAACCATCCTTTCAAGTCACCTGTTCTTGTACAAGCACGAACAAAAGGAGTCATTTATCACATTGAGCACAGAAATGATGAGTTATATATTCTTACTACATATGGAGAGCCTGCAGAATATAAGGTAATCTTAACTGTTAATAAGATTAGAAGTATTCATTCAGGTGCATGTTACAGATCATGTAGACGTAGTGAGGTTGGCTTTTAATTCTGTGCTCCGCGGCTTACTGAATTAATTTAAGAAAATTAGACATGCAGAGAACTGCGTGGCTTCAAAGACTGACAACAGTATGTGGAGTCTTTCACCTGTAGCATGCTGATTTGACTCTAACCCATCTGTTAACAAATGGAAATGATTATGCTTTAACTGTCATTTGCCTTGTATTAAAATAAGTTAGTGATTTCAGTCTGTATAACCAAACAGCCTGCAGTTCAGTTGGCCACATGAAAGCACTTATTACATGAAAATCACCGGTGGATTAATCTTGCAAATTTTTCCATAAATTTACTTTTTTCCATGCCAGTTTTTCTGGTCACGTTCTGGTGTTTTCAGTGGCTGCTTTTCCTTCATATAGTATAATAATAGTATCTCAGAGAGCATACCACCACTTACTGAGAAGAAATGCTCTCCTGCTCAGGTGGCAGGTTCTTGTCTTGTATGTAGTGCACAGCTGGGCAGTGCTGACCTTCAGACATGAAAATATCACCTTCTATCAATGCAGCATACATCCAACTTATTCATTTTTGTGTACACAATCAGGAATATCCAATGAATCTCATGAATTTTTGGAAGTATTTATCTTCTTTTGAGGCAGAAGCCCTT